TGGCTACCTGCCACTCTAGTCCCAAATCCTCACAGGTTAGCCATTCCTATCATGCCCAGCAGAGACTTCCTCTTCTTCCTGCAGCTACAGCAAAGTTCCGGAAATGAGTCTTCTTTGCTTTGATCACCTGACTATTTTGGAAGCAATCACTCTAGCCAAAAGAATAGGCTGCTCTGATTGGCCAGGCCTGAGTCACATGTTGTTGGAGGTGGGAGGTGGGGGTCAATCCCTGCTAGACAAGATGGACCCAAAAGGCGCAGTAGTGGGAAAACGGAGGGTGGGGGGGTTTACCACAAATCTGATACACACTCCACACCCAGAGAACCCATCTCTTTGGGGGCATCTTGAGCAAAAAACGCTTTTAGCCCCATCTGAATACCTGCGTGACACATGGGGTGTCTTCTACCTCCTTTCAATCCGGGCATCTTCTTGACTGTCCCCCTTTTTTATATCCAGACCCTGAAGAGATGGTGAGTGAACACACCAGACAGAAGCAGCTCATCGAGAAAAAATTTGGGACCATGACTGAGAAGTAAGGAGATGCCAAGGGATGCGAGGCCCTGTGTCTAAGGGGAGAGGTCTGGGGTCTGGCCCAGTCTGGCAGGGCAAGGGACATTGCTCACCTCTCTGGGAGGCAGTGGGGTGCCAAGGCCCATGGAGAGCCTCTGGGTGGGACGTGGAGACCACGAGTGGCTTCTGTTCACCCAAAGCTATCTTGTGCCACCAAGAGAGTCCCCCCTGGCAGTGTCTACAGGGCCATGAGAGCCAGTGTGAGGCTGAGAGCAAAGGCAGGGCCGCAGCGAGTCTGCCTGTCTGTTTACTCAGGAAGCAGACCTGAGCCTTGCTCTGGGTCAGGCCCTGTAAGTTCTCTAGGACACAGACTAATCCGTGCCCAGGAGAGCCTATTGCCAAGAACCCGTGCCGGGCCCTGAGGGCACTAGACTTGGGCTAAGTGGAGGGGTGAAGAGGACGGGTCAAGGAATAGCTTGCGTAAAGGCCTGGGAGGCAGATGGTCAACATCCCATTCCCGTGGAATCCATTGGCCAGCTGGGGACTTATGGCTGTGCTTGTGGCTGGGGGACCTCAGCACAGACTCCTGCTTCCTGGCTCGCAGGCTTGGCTCCACAGAGACCCATCCCTCTGAAAGCTGGGCCCCACTGCACCTCATCCGGATTGGCTCCAAGCCAGCCTGACTACTGGCAGCCTCCAGCCCCTCCTTACCCGACATCCAAGTTCAAGTCCCAAAGGCCCTCTGTGACCCAGCCTTTGCCAGCCTCCCTCGGTTCCCTGGTTCCTTCCTTGCTGTCCCTGCAGTGTTTCCCAAGCATAGCGTATACTTCTCCATCTCCAGGCCTTTGTCCACACTGTTTTCTCTGTCTGGAATATTCTCTGGCTGCCAATGCTGGGCTCAAGTGAACAAGATTTGGGAGAGTTGAGTTCCAATCCTGCTCACTTCACCTCCTGGCCCTCCTATCCTCCACTCCATGTTCCAGCAACTTGGCTACTGGCTTAGTGCGCCCTTGGCACCTCTATAACACTTTCCATGGGGGTTTCTGGGCCCCCAGACTCTTCCCACTGGCCCATCTCCTCTAAGCGTGCCCTTTGTTTTTGTTTGTTGTTTGGTTTAATCTTTCTTTTATTCTTTTAATTTATGTATAGAGCGGTCTTTGTTAAAAGCAGTTTAGGCTTTTCCTTCCTCCTCAGACTTTACATCTCCAACTCACCCACTCTCTACGGCTTCCTTCCCTGAAGCCTGCCCTGGCCCCCAGTATACTCCAGTCCTTCTGGGCTAGCAGACCAGGAACCTTGCTGAAGCCTGGCAGAGCCCCAGGTGTCTTTCAACCTCGACTCTGTGGCACTTGCTCTGGAAGCCTTCTCCGATCCCCAGGACTGGATGAGCTTTTCCTCCTCGGCGACCCTCAGCAGTCTGGTTTACTCATCCCAAATGTAAACTCTTGGTTTGCGTTCCTGGCACTGCCACAGACTGAGCTTCTTAAGGGCAAGGAGTGTTTCTTCTTAACATCTGGGTCCTCGGAGCACCTGGCAGGGTCCATTGATTTCAGTGTCACTCGGTGGGTGGATTTATAAAATGGGCAGGTGAAGAGGGAGTTAATAGATGGGTAGTGGGCAGGTGAATGGTTGCAGGGGGCGGTCAGGTGGAGGACTGGCTGTACCACATGCTGGAGGGGTGGATCCAGGGAAGAGCAGGTAGAGGGAGGGATCGGGGTGGTCAGATGAGTGAGTGAAAGGCTAGGGAGGTGGGCAGATGAACGGGTAGGTGGGCAAGTGGGTGCACAGAGAGGTATGGGGTAGCCGGAGGGGCCAGCGGTTGCGAGGATGGACGGATGCAGGGACTGATAACTGGGAGGGTAAACCACTGGCACAAAAGGGGGCTCTTAGTTTGGGGGAAAAGGAGATTCACCACGAAACTGACTCAGAAAAGTTGTAATGTGGGACTGGCGGGAGGCAGGCGAGAGGAGCTTTCTGGGGGGCTCTGGCAGCCGCGCAGACCCTGCCACACAGGTCAGCTCTGGCTTGTCCCCGTCCCCTGCCCCACCTCAGGCAGCAGGAGCTCCTGTTCCACTTCCTCCAGCTGGTGGCTGGGGTAGAGCATCATCAACAGAAATTCCGCTCCCAGGCGTCCGTTCTTGATGAGATTGTGGACACTGCATTCGAGGTGCGCCGGGCAGGACCAGAGGAGAGGGGCCAGAATGGGAGGACCCCAGAGGGCCAGGCATGAGAGGCCCAGAAGGCCCCGAATAGTCACATGGGCCTGTGGGAAGGCAGAGGCCAGCACAGGCCTAGTTACCCTCCCATCCCACCCCTGCAGGCTGGAGAAGAGGACTTCAGGAAGTGACTCCTGGACGGAGAGAGACACTGGATGTGGATTTCAGCCTCCGGCAAGCTGCCCACTGCCTTGGGTCTGGACAAGTCCCCTGCTCTGTTGGAATGATCGTCAGGCTTGCAGGGCTGGTCCTAACAAAGTTTTTAAAACCCCGAGTGGCTCTGTGTCCTCCCTGGCTAAGCCAAGGCACAGGGCAGGGGAATAGTGCATGTGCATGGGTGTGCACTGTGTGTGTGTGTGTGTGTGTGTGTGTGTGTGTGTGTGTGTTTTGGGGGGATGGATGAGTCTCTGTTAGAGGAAAGCAGGGAATAAGCCTAATGGTCGCTCCCCACCCTGCCTGGCCTAGGGCTTAGGTGAGTTCCCCTACTTTCAGCCTGAACCTGGGCAAATACCCAGAACCCCTGGCCCCGCAGTGTGGGTGGAGGAGAGGCTGTGGTTCAGATCCCCAAGTGCCTGGACGGGGTGCTGGAGACCTGGGGCTCCAGACTGGAGTGGGGTGTCCCACTGCCTCCGGCAGCCACCTCCTCTCTGGCCAAGTGAAACCAGGCTACAGCAGAGGCTGGAGGGGGTCAGGAGCAGGACTCCAGAGTGGGGGTCGCGGGGTGACAGTTGTGCCAGTCTTCCCCATCTCTGCAGGCTGGACCAGGCAGGGGTGAAGACACCAGGCCCCAGCGCAGAAGGGGCACGTCCCTCCCTGGCCGGAACCTGGGGAGAGAAGGTACTGGGCAAATGGCTTCTGGGATCAGGGCACAGATCTGGGGGTGGAGAGGCCACCTGGTGGGTATCTGCAGGCTACCACCCCACGCATTCATTCACCAAGCATTTCCTGCCACTTCCCCGTGCCTGCTCCAGGCTGGAAGCTCCTGCCTGGTGGCCCGCAGGGGCCCTGGGCCAGCTGAGCTGCTGCCTCTGACGGGCTGGGGCAGAAGAGGGCTGAATTTTCCCCTGAGCTCCTAGCTCCTGTTCAACGCAGCCCATTCGCTCCCCAGACTTCCTCGTGCCAGTCGCCTCTCTACTGTCCGCCCCTCCCCATCCCTAACCCAGCAGGCCTCTGAGAGCACAGGGCAGGGCCGGGACTGGGGGCTGTTCTGCAGTAGGTCACAGCATTGGGCAGGGGACTGAAGGCAGACACAGTGGCGGATGCGAGGCCCCACCAGGAGGGGCGGGAGACAGAGGCCGGGGGCCTTCTCCACCCCCACACCACCACACTTGACTGCCCTCACCTACTTCTCCCAAGGGATCCGGTTCCTGACTTAGCTGCTCCAGGCGTGGGTGTGCGGAGGTCTGTCCGCAACTCCGGGTTGTCTGGGGTGGAGGGTGTTTCCTCCGTGTGTGTGTGCTATTCCGGATATGTATGTGGTGTCGGGGAGCCTCCAAGTGTGTGCTGTGGTTTCAGTGTACATGTGTGGCGTTGAGAGTTCTGTGTGTGTGTGTGTGTGTGTGTGTGTGTGTAGTGAGTAGGAACTGCACCCACAAATGCAGCTGTGCAAAAAATGCTGCAGTTCTGTTTTCTTTAAATGATGTCACATCGCATCTGTCCCCTCCTCCCTCCTGTGGGCAGTAGATTTGACCTTGGTCCCCTTTGGGCTTCCTGTCCAGCCCCTTCCAGTGGTCTTGTCTGGGGCAAAGCACTGGGGATGCCTCTGGCCTATGGCCCACAGCGTGTACTTGAAAGCCACCGTCCCAGCCCTCATGGCCTCTTGGCCGGTGGGGGCTCTGGCACCACTGGCCCGCAGGCAGGTATGGGAACCTCGCAGGTGGGGCGCTCAGCATCCTGGGGCCTGGCTGCCTGGACCCGGCCTGTGCTACCCTGAGTCATCCTGGGAGCCGAGAGGGCGCAGAGCTCAGTTCACCGACTCCGGCCCCTGTTGGCTCTTGGGGCGTCCTTCTCCTGAGACTTGGTCTCCCACCCCTGCACTCTGAGAATACTGAGTGCTTAGAGGTCTGATTCTCTGGGTCTGCGATGCTGGGGTGTTTGGAGAACCGCACATTTGGGGCCTGAACCCTGTGCCCTCAGCACTGTATGGGCTGAGACAACAGCAGCTCAGCAGAGAGTGGGATGGGCTGTCTTTGGCCTGGGAAGGGGGTGCTGCCATGAGTGGGCATGGGAGAAGGGGGGTCCAGGGGGGAGGGTGAAGCACTCCGGAGAGGCCGATGCAAGAAGCAGTGCTGGCAATTTATTGTGACAGGTACGTCCCTGGACCTGAAGTGCCTTCCCGCCCGTGCCCCGCCGCCCCCCGCCCCCATGCCCCAAGGGGTCTATGATATGGTCACGCAGTTGTGCTTCAGAAGCTGGGAGGAATTCTGCCAGGGGACCACTAGGATCTCGAAGTCACAGCGCAGCTTCTGCAGGGAGAGGAGGGGTGAGTTTGGGTCCCAGGCCCAACTGCCCGCAATTGCCACCCTCAGCCCGCGACGCTCCACTCTGTGAGAGAAACAATCACTGGCCCAAATGGACAGTGAGTCAAATGGGCAGGACTAGATCCCAGATCCTTCTAGCCCAGTCCAGTGAGGGAGAAGCCGCAGTCTCCTCCTCTCCGCACCCCACCCTGGCCTGGGGGCTGAATCATCCAGGAGACAGGGACAGGTTCAGCCAGATATCAGCCAGGCCAGCCAGACAGGTTCAGGCCGGACAACCCCTGGCCGTGGGTGCCGGGAAGTGGGGTGCAGGCCTATTACCTCCTCCTGCACTCCTGTGGCAAAGGGGCAGGTGGCGATATCCACGCCGTCTCCGGTGGCCATGTTCTTGCGACAGGCTGTGCTCCCCATCTCAACAGTCAGGTAGTACTTGATGCCGGCCACCAACTGGGGACGGAAGGCACCGGCCGGTTAGGAGTGCCTAGGAGTGCCGGCAGACTACCCAGACTACCCTTGACTGAGACCTTGCACCTCTCTCCGCATTGCGCACGCTGGCCTGTGCCTCGGGATTCAGACCCTGGAGCAGTGAGTTCTGGTGCAGGTCCCCGCGGAATGGGACAGAAGCCTGGGCCAAACAGGACGCTGAGAGCCAGGTATGCACAGGCCCTGAAGCCCCATCCCTCACTCCCCTCTCCCCAATCCAAGCCCCAGGGCGGTGGCTAGTGGGAGGCTAGTGAGTCCCTGCTTAATTAAGTCAGGGCTAGATCCAGTCTGTTGAAATCTAGATAGGTTGTTCATAACAAACTTTTGGCACCATTCAATTTACAAAATACATTGTATTAAAATGTCCTGAATGCTCTCCTGGCATCTCCTTAACCTGGCCCCAGCTGGGATGCCTCCCTGGTGGGGTCCCAGCCGGGGTCCCAGCCTGGCTCCCAGCCGCCCCTCTGCCTGGCCGCACCTGGCTCTGTGCCTTGAGGATGTTGGTGTCCCGGAAGTAGTAGAGGCTGTTGCTGCCCATGTTGTAGCTGGCCACCGCCGCCTGCGCCGCCTTCTGCACCTGCGGGTCGCTGGGAGACAGGTCCCTGCGGCCACCTATGAGACCCTCCCCAGAGCGGGGGCGGGCACAGGCGTTGTGGAGGAGTGCCAGAAGGCAGAGCGCGAGGAGGCCCAGGCCCAGGGCCCGAGGGAGGCTTGGAGTAGCCATGGCCGGCAATACCAGGTCCCCCTGCGCGCCCCGCTTTTTACCTGCTCGAAGGCCCCGCCCACCCCGCGCCCCCGCGGCGGGGCAGGGGAGGGATCACAGAGCCTGGGCGGGTCTTAGAGGCCGCCTACCTTCTGCCCCAGGGGGCAGTGGAGGCCTCCCTCACCTTGCGTCCAGCGATGCTGCCTTGCCTTCCAGGGACTCGGCCGCCCCCCTCCCCTGACGGTGAGGGAAAGGACAGGGACAGTCCCCAGCAGGTGCTCACCGTTCAGATGGTTCGTGGAAGGCCCAACCAGTACGAAACACCAACAACTATTAGCGACCTGTAACTATTGCCACCATTACTAGCTGTGCAACCTGGGAGAAATTACTTAACGGCTCGCTGCCTCCGTTTCCCTCTCTGTGAAATGGGTTGCTGTGAGGACACAACAGGTTAAGTGCTTAGAGAAGGCTCGGTCCTGTAAAAACAGCAGGAAAGGGGACTAGTATGCTGAGCCAGGCACTGTTTGACCCTTATAGCCAGGAATGGAAATTGATAATATTTCCACTCCATGAAGAAAGAGGAAGAAAACAGGACGCAGAGAGGAGAACAGATTTACCCAAGGATGCAGATAGGAAATAGTAAATGATGCCACTGGCTTTTGAGCCCAAGCAGTTGAACCCAAATCTGTGCTCTCAAACCAGACTGAGCCCACAGGATGCGGGTGGCCAGAAAGAGGGGCGTGTGTGGAACTGGGCTTTGCCAATTACTGACCGGTGAATTGGACACAGTCCTTGGCCTCCCAAGGTCTCACTGTCATCCCTCTGAGGAAAGGGGACAACTCCTACCTGCTAAGGTTATTCTGATGTTAATGCCTGGGGACTGGCCCCCAGCCCCCCACCCCCGCCCAAACAGTGGAAGCAGGAGGCAGGAGGCGGCAGGAAGCAGGGCGCTGTGAGTTTTTTAGGAAAATCTGGTTTAATGAACAGCACGGAAATAACTCCCACAAGGAGTCTGAATCTTGGTGGAATTCCTTATCCACGTTTTAGGGTTCAGAGCAGCTTGTACTTTTCATCACATCTTACTGAGGAGAGGTGGGGCTTTTTGCCCCGGGGACCTCGGGGACACTGAGGTCCCGTCAGTGCTGAGGGCCTCCAAGGATCTTGCTTGGGGCTTGGAAGAGGCAGTGCTTTACAGCACCTGACAGACCATTGGCAGCTGGAATGTTGATGAATATTCTAAGCAGGCAGAATTCCCGGCCTCTCAGAACCCCAGGGCTGGGAAGGGCTGTGATTTCCTCTCTGGGAGACCCAGACCAGCTGCTCCCCACCCCCTCTGCCCAGCTGTGAAAGCCTATTTGGGATTCCTGAGGAAGAGTCACAAGTTGCAGGCTCAGGTGTCTGCCTTAAAGGGACAGAACCCAGATGGCGGGAGAGCTGGCTCAAGTGTGGCTTCATGACGAGGCCAAGGCCAGGCAGAAACCCAACATCAGAGAACCTGGAAGGTCAAGAGGCTGTGTAGGGTAGAGGAGGAAGAGGCAGTCTCCTGGGGCAGCGGCAGCGGCGGCGGAGGTGTGGGGGGGCTTGCTCCGGGGGCTCCCAGGTTGCCATTACTTGGAGCTCAGCCATGGCCACACTTACCTCCAACAGCTCCCTGGAAAACTAGCCAAGGTCTGGTCTGATTCACTAAGGGCCAATGGGTCCCTAGCTCACTCGCCCCTCTGCCCCCGTGCACATGAGTACCACAGGCTGTACCACAACCTAACAGCCTCCAAAGACCTTTCACCCACTGGCCTCTCATAAGCACTCTTTGGCAGTAAGCCTCCAGGACGTTAATCAGAGAGGTCAGGTCACTTGTCTAAGGTCACACAGCTAGTATGGGCAAAGAGGGATAGGGAAGGGAAATCATGCTTCCATGTGCCAGGCCTTGCACCAGGGCCTCCACACGCTTGCTCGTCCTCATAACTGCTCGGCAGAAGCTGTTTTACTAGGGGGTTGGGGGGCCAAAGGGAATGTGTCAGTGGTGGAGCCTGGCGGCATCCGTGTTTCAGCCTCCTAGTGTGTGAGTCCTGGACCTCTCCGTGGGGATATGAGGTAGGCTGTGTAGGGGGAGGCTCCCTGGGGGCAGGAGTGCCCTAAGAGGATATTCCCAGGGCTGTGGGTCTCATCTGGAGAAGAGTCTGGACTCCATGCTACCTGGACCCCTATGACTTCTAGAAGGAGGCCTAGGCCAGGTATGAGCTCAGGGTTGGCACTCCTACTGGTCACAGGGCACAGTCTCCCATTTTTTTACTGTGGCCCGGGCATCCCGATCCGGGTTGCCCATGGCAGCCCTCTCTTGCCTCTGACTGAAAAGTCTTGCTGACAAGGGACGGCCCTTGACATCCTCGTCACCCCTGGGATGAGGCTACTCAGGGCTGGTGTGCTGTCCCCAGAACCCTCCTCTCTGAACTTTCCGCTGGCTGCAGATATCCCCTCCGCGGCGCCCTGCTTTCTTTCCCGAACCATATCCCAGGAAGGAGCCGTTAAGGCAAAGAAAACTGCAGTCAGATCCCATGGGATCATGACTAAAACTCCCATCTGTGGAGGGGTGCTCCTACGTGCCAGCGGCTTTAGTTCATTAGCTGCTGGATTCTCTACAAAGCTGCACCCGGTGGCAGAGGAGATACGGCTCAGAGCACTGAGTGATGCACTCTGGGTTGCACAGCAAGTCAAGGAGGAACTGAGATCAGAAGCAGGTCTGGCGGGCTCCTTCAGGCTATTATCAGTCAAGGCCAGGGGTGACAGTAGAAAGAGCCCTGGGTCCCTGCAGGGAGGGAGCCAACCAGGAAAGAGGTTGATAGCCCTGAACACAGACTCTCGGCCTTTAACACCCTCTGAGCTGCTACAGGGCAACGTGGGGAGGTGTGTCTTGGGCTTGTGTCTGTCCTGTAGCTTCTCCTTACTTTCCTCCAGGGGCAGTAGGACCCCTGTAGTACCCCAGAGCATGGGAGCTGGGGTCACTCCAAGCTCTGGGCCACATCTGAGCACTCATGACTAGACTGGTTGAGGGGTCTAGTTCTGGCTGGGGACAAGGCACACTGGCCAATATTTGCTGACTTCCATGCCCCTGGCCAGGCACAGCCTGTTGAGCAGTTTGGGGGCTGACCTTTTTTTTTTTTTTAAAGATTTATTTGCTGGGGAAGGGGCAGAGAGAGAGAGAGGAAGAAGGTCTTAAGCAGACTCTGTACCAAGCGCAGGGCGTGACATGGGGCACAATGTGGGGCTTGATCTCATGACCCCGATATCACAACCTGAGCTGAAACCAAGTCAGACGCTTAACGCACTGCATCACCCAGACACCCCCTGGGCTGACATGTAACTAACCTCCTACCAGTCGCCACTTGGGTCTGCTTTCTCCAACATTCCGGGCCTTGGTCCCTCTGTCCTGCAGGCTAAGTTGGGGCTGGATCTCTGAAGCCACGCTGTCCTATGGTACATTCTAGAAGCCTTTGTCTCCTGCTGCTCTAGGACTGAACCAGGAACTTGTGTGGGATGCACTCAAGGGTCCAGATAAAGGGTTTCAATCTACCAAAGTTACACACACAGCCTGAGCCCCAAGCGAGAGGTGAGAAAGCAGGCTCCAGCCCCCTCAGAGATAAAGCCTGTGGGCGAGGCAGGGAAGAGCCCTCGGAAAGAAGCAGAGGAAGCACAGCCCACAGGCTTTGGCTGGGTGGATCCCAGTGCCAGAACCACAAGAGGTAAAACCTGACAATAAGCACAGGTGGGAGCCACGGGCAGGAGCCACGGGCAGGAGCCACAGGCAGGGTGCTGTGGAGGAGGGGGGAGTCTGCATCCCCCCCCACCCCTAGCATCAGCGACAATCCGGCAGTATCAGCACTGAGGAGGGGGAAGGCCACAGCCCTGCCAAGCTGCTGCCGGAGTACACCAGGCCCATGAGACAGTGTCACAACACAAAGGGTGAGCAGACTCTGAGGGGACCCAGGTCCCATCCAGGAGAGCATCAGAAACACAGGCTGGAACTCTAGGGAGAGTCTCAATCACCAGCCCCATCTGGGAGTCAGGCCGGCACTCTCTCAGGAAGTGGGAGCCCTCCCAGGAAGTGGGAACACAAACTGGGCCCTGCTTGGGCCACCTGGTGCTCGTCCAGACCCAGCCCTGCTCTGAACCCTCATTCCTACCGTAACCATCAGGATCTCCAACTACTCACGTAATTGTTCTCTTCCTGGGGCTTCACTTTTGGTTTCCTTTTTATCCTTCTACTAATCGGAGATGTAGCTAATATTCAGAAAAGCGCACAGAACCTATCTTTTGTTACCACCACACAGGTCAAGGCTTGGAAGCTGCCACCCCCACCCCCAAGCCCCCCATGCCTCACACCTGCCTCCTTCCCACAAAGGTCACCACACTTCTACTCCTGATTTTTGCAATAAGCATTTCCTTGCTTTTTCTAGCTTTACCGCCGACAGAGATGACTGAGTAAGGATCTACTTGTTAACTTCAGATGAATGGACTCATACTACTGAACGTTTTGTTTGCTTGGCATTGAAATTCACCTGCCACTTGTTCATTTCCGATGGTATGGACAGCCATTGCGGGTTGTTCTGAACAAAGCCACTGTGAACACGCATTCAGGGGCAGGTCTGCAGGTGTCCCTGGAAACAGTCCCAGGAGTGGAACTGCTGGGTCACAGGACGGGTCTTATCTTCAGCTTCACTGGAAAACGCCAACTGTTTTCCCAAGGCTTCAGGCCAATCTACACTCCCACCAGCTGGGCGTCGGACACGGCTGCTCCGTTCCCTCATCAGCACTCAGGACTGTTTGACCTGAGCATTTCTGCCAGCGGATGATGGCATCTCACTTACATTTCCGATTACTGCTGTGACTGACCACCTTTTCCCGAGCTCATGCCCCCATCTAGGTGTTCCTCTCATGGCTGCCATACAGGTGTTTTGCTCTTTTTTCTATTGTGTTGTCTGCCTTGTCTTCATCACAGTCACCCCTGGATGCAGTCCCCTGTTGCTTGTGTTTACTGCAAATCCCTCTCCCACCCTGGGGCCAGCACCGCCACCCTCTTTGTGGTTATCTTCAGACAAATAAAAGGTCTATTAACGGAGCTGAATTTATCAACTTTTCCTTAATTTTTCCCTACCCTGAGCACGAGAACCTTCTCATGGTTTCCCAAGTTTTGCATTTAATATCTGTTGTTCTCTCCTCACCAGACTGTGAGCCCTCTGAGAACTCTGGAAGCCAGTAGTTCCTGGACAATGCTCCGCAGAAGGAAGGAAATCCAGGCAGGGCTGGTTGTACACAACCAGCATTTCATCTGATCCTTACAACCTCATTTTCCAAGTGGGGAAACAGAGGCTCAGAGAGGCCAAGTGACAGGACCAGGGAACAAAGGGCCCTCAGGTACATGGGTTTTAGAGTTACACTCTGAGAACCAAACTGGCTCCTTCCTAGCAGTAAATCCACAAATTACTCAGTCTTTCTGAGCCTCTGAATTCCTCACCTATAAAAGAGAAAACAATTATTACTGTGGGAGAAAAGAAATGTTTACAAAGATCTTAGCCATGGGCCTCGTTCATACTGAGTGTTCAACAAAGACCAAGACAAAAATGTACCCAAAGTCTAACTCATTCAAACCCCCACAGCTGTGATGTCCATGTTCTTTCTGCCTCCTTAAGAGAGCCAAGCAGATGACCAGAGCCCTGCCCACTCCTCCCAGAGGCCAGGAGAGCCCATGACGATTGTCAGGTGAACTCTAACCCACATTTGATCCACCCTGTTCCTGGAATCCGACTCCCACTGACTTTTCCACCAGGTGCTGCCTAGCCCAGCTGTTGACTCAGCTGACATCTGGAACATCACAGCCCACCCAGATCCCAGCAGGGGACAACCCACGCTCTCTGCCAGATTACTAAGGGATACTCCAAGGCACCTGCCTGAGGCCCACGTGACTAGGGTGGCTGCCCTCCAGAGCGGGAAGGAAGCTGCCAGTTTCGATCTGTGCTGATAAGGTGTGTGGCAGACCGGGTCAGTCCCTGGGGAAAGTCCCAGCCCACCTGCTTTTCAACACTTAAAGCCCAGTCATGAAGGCCACTGACTTTATTGATTTAAAAAACTTTACAAGGACAGTGACTATTCCGCCAAAAAAGGAGCCAAATAGCATAAAACAGACCGGTGGGGGTGAGGGAAGGGCCAGGAATCCACTCAGAAAAGCCGGTAATTGTTGACATGAAACTAGCAGGGGAAGGAGAAGGGAGATGCATGCAAAAAAGTTGAAATGGTGGGGGAGAGAACTCCCAAAAGACCTTGAAGTACATCAAAAGTGAGTACGACAACAGCAATCTCTTCATTTGTAGAGGACAAGGGAGGAGTCCCCACGCAGCTGCAAACTCTGGAGACTCGATGCTGGGGCTAGGGGCTGGGGGCTCCCCAAGAGAGCCTCACAAAAAGGCGTCGCACCACTCTCGAAGGCACCCAAAGCAATCCCGGGACTGCTTGGCATTGGCACCACATGTGTCCTTCAGCCATTCCCGGAAGAGATCTTCATCTTTCTTTAGCACCAGAAACTGGCCAAGGACCACATAGGCCTGCAAAACAGGCAAAGTAAAGGGCAAGCTGCTGAGTGCTCTGTGGGACCAAGAAAGAATGAGAAGGCCACTTTGTGGCATTCAAAGCACATGAGCCTAGAAGTAGGGGAGGCGGTGGCTGTCTCTTCGGATCACACATCAATGGCCACCCCCAACAGCTACTCTCGCTTTCCTCACCCCCAAAGCACCAGGAAATACTGTAGTCCGCCACCCCCAGCCCTTCCCAGGTGCATGCAGCCAGCCCACACCTTGTCAAAGCCCCTTTCCTCCAGCTTCTTGCCCAAGACTTCACCAATCCCGGCCAGGCTCCCCACTGGCTTTTCCCCCATGGGCTCTGCCACGAAGTCTCGGTGCTTTTGGGAGGTTGTCATCTTGATCAGCTGAACCTGGGAATCCCAAGAAAAGGTAGTTAGGGCTGAAAACCGGGAACTCCCAAGGGACCAGGGCAATGTTTTGTTATGAGAAAGCGGACCCAGCCATTATGGCTGCTAACTCAATTCTCATCAGTTCACGGATGTGAGAACTCAAGTCCACGAAGAGCCTTTCCCCCCGCTACGCAAAAGAATGGTTCTGGGTCCTCCCTGAAACTGTCAGTCTCTCTGTGACCTTGGCTGGCTAAGAAGGCACTGAGCCCTCCTAGAGCGGCTCCCCGGCCTGAAAAGCAAACGATGGGTCTCTC